TACATGCATAAATTATAGTAACTAGACGAATGTAAAACATTTGTCTAGGGGCGAGCCTAAGCAAGCAAAACAATGTACATACAATAGATATTGCTCAGAACTTGACTGTAATTCTTGATCTATATGTACCTTTGAAATCTCTGTAGCATTAAAGTCACCTTGCTTATAGCTTTAGCAAGCACTAGAAGCAGTCACTGCAATGACTACACAAAGCAGTCACTGCAAACTTGATCAGACTCATTTACAATTGTATATCTGCTTTCTTAACCTTTCTTGCCTTTTCCTTGCTGCATTTGGACAGCAGTGCAGTCTTAATCTTGCTGACTTCAGTGACTAGCAAGCAACCCATTTGATAGCTGCCATTTTATTTTCAATAAAATGGTGTTGGGTGATATTGAAAATTATGAAATGATATGATATGACACAATATTGGTCCAAAAATGAAGATATCGATATCTATTATTGATTAGTTATCAAGCCACACCCATTAACTTTAATATAACCGTATAGCGGGTTTACATTGTATTTCAAGGATCACAAATTTCATGAATTTCGTGGATTTTTGAAGATTTGCAAAATTAAATTCCTTGAAAATCATTTTACTATGGTACAAGATGGCAGAATAGTGGTAATTTGCGATTATTATTAAAAAGCATTATATAACCTTTTTTTGACTTGATATACATGTACATGTACTTCAGCTACTTCATCTGCTTTCCAAAAAAATATAGTTTAGTAATTTTCAAGATCTTTTAATTAATCATTACTAAGATTATTTAACCATTTTGTGGGCATGGTCACGTTATCGCTATTTCCCTTTGATTTTTTTCATATTGATACATGTACATTGTAAGTATCAATACTGCATTATATCAAGAGTGGATAAGGAGGAGGGGAGAGTGTCTAACTGCCCTATGCTGCTAGTGATATGTGCGCGTAGAAGTTTCATGGTTATTATTTGTACATTCCCGCATACCTTATTTAGCACAATAAGTGATAACTGCACTGAAGCCATAGTTGGGCGTGTACTTAAGTTAACTGTAATATAAAAATGGCTGCTGAACTGAGCAGCAAGAGCCTGGACCAGAGACCTTGGAAGCAGAATTTGACCTCACCTTGTTGTACCAGTCACTTTGTACCACTCTGAAGAGATTTGTAGTTTACAAGCACACAAACCATGTTTGTTATTGACACATGAAAAGCTCTTGATCAATGATCATCCTCCTTTAGTCTGGTCCCTTGGGACCCACAACATCAAGAGTAAGGATAATAATAGAAGTGAAAGAATATGTGGTACATGTACTTTTGAGACAG